ACTTCACAGGATACTCGTCCAATGGTTAAAGAGGTTTTGGTGGTTCTAGAGTTCTCCAGAAGGTTCTTTATTTTCAGGTGGCTTATGTGGTTCTAGCTCTCATCAGTAAATCATTTGGGAGGTTCTAGAGGAGGTTTGGGTTCATTTAGACGGTTCTAGAGCTTTTGAGGAGGTTCTAAGGTTTATTTCGGTGGTTTACGATGTTAAATATGAAGTCGATGGTTCTGTCAGTTCTGTCCAGAACTGTCTCATGAGTTTGTTTTTTAAATAATTCTGTTGAACAACGTCTGATCTTCATAGAAGTTTCATTTATTCTGACTTCTGTCAGATTCGAGTTGTTTCTGTGACCGTTGTGGGTTTTCTTTCATTAACCGACGGCTACCAGCTATTTGGTCCACATGTGTAGCCGGTTCTGGAGTTTCATTCAGAGATTGTAGTGTTCTGAGGAGGTTCTGAGGTTGGTTCTGGTGGTTGGTGTGGTTCTAGAGTTCGTTCAGGACTCAGTTTTAACGTCACTTCATGAGATTTAATTGATGATTTTCGGTGAAAGCTTCAGTGTGCCTGATCAAGACCGTGATGGAACCACAGGGAGATGCTGGCAGAGCCCTGCAGAACCCGGTTAGACCTGCAGAACCCGGTTAGACCTACAGAATCCGGTTGGACCTTTAGAACCCGGTCAGACAGTGGCCTGCTGACAGAACCCTGAACACAATCGGCCCAGTTTGTCTTTCTTCTCCTGAAGCAGTCGAGGCCAACCAGCTTGAGGCTAGCGGTGCCGATAACTCTAACTGGACCAGTTAACAGAACCAGCCTGGTCACTCTCTAACCACCTGCAGGGAGTCAAGGGAGACGGTTTAGAATCAGAACCCAAACCTGAGGTTCAGTGTGAAGAAGCCTCACGGAACCAGAACTCAGGACGTCTGTGTCAGAGAGGAAGCTGATGGAACCATCCTGCCAGGACGGGTCTGGATTCATCCTGAACATGGTGACTGTGTTTGAAACAGAACCGGGTCAGAACCGTGACATTGCTTTACTTTCACAGATTGGACCCTGAAGGGAAGCTGGACGATGACATCACGCCGCTGTATGACCTCATCAGACAGCGGCGTGATGTCACCAGGTGAGAGTGTTGTGCAGGTAGGAGGTCCTCAGGTGCTGCGCCCAGCTTGTGTTAAGAGTGTTAGCATTGTTGCTATACTTAGCGCTCTTAGCGCTCCTTAGCATTAGCTAATGGTGTCAGGGAGATTTAAAGGTCAGAGGTGGCAGCAGTCGGCTGGGTTCAGACTCTGAGGAGTGTTTTGGTACCGACCAGGTCCAGCTGCAGCCAAACGTTCAGCCTCAAAAGTACTGAATCCAAAATATTAAAATCAGAAACCATTCAAGCCAAAGCTGCAGCAGGACGGGTCGGGTTCTGCGGGCTTGTTCAGCAGCTGGACTCAGCAAGATAAGAAGCATTTAAGTCCAGGAGTGAAGACTGTGCAGCTTCTCAGGTTCAGATGTTCCCGACTGCAGAACAACCTGGAGACCCGACACCAGCACAGAGTGACGGTTCCTTTTGTTTAACCTTTACTGAGGCAGGAGGCTCAGTGAGATTAAAACCCGGTTCGTCCAGAGGGTCCCGGCCCAGACAGCAGCAGCATCCACACAGACACCATGGGACACGGTGGGACCATGTTTAGAAGAAACCAGAACATCAGTAAAATAACCGTCTGTCAGAACATCTACGGACTGATGGTTCTGCCTCCACCTCATTTATAAAAGAAACCGGCTCCTGCAGTTTCAGGTCTTTTATGAAAGTGTTCCAGGTGGAGGAGCCCCGTTCACTTCTAACTCCGGGACCGCAGACTGGACCCACCAGAAACCTGTAAATATCCAGGAAGCTAGAACAAGCCGGCGTTTCTTCTTCATGAGGTCAGTCTGACGTCCAACACCAGAGCTGGTGATGAACTTGAAGCGCCGTGACTCGACAACACTCTGAGCAGAAGCACTCACGTATGTTCTGGTGAAGTTATGGAGCAACAGCAGAACATGGAGGACCAGAACCAACACAAGTGCTGCTGTAGAACCTCTGCTCTGTTGTGAAGACTTTCACACTCAGATCACGGTTCCTCCACAGAGGTTCTGCTGTGTTCTCCACCGTCCTGCTGATTGGTGGATCAGTCTGTAAACGTCACCTGACCTGCTCAATGTGACGTGTGATTGGCCACAGGACCAGAGCTCAGGTGAGCCAGAACCTCACCTGCACACGTCTCAGAACTCACTTTAAGAGTTTCATTTTTAAGAACTTTTTCAAGGTTCCAAACTCGGAAACAGTCGAAGAGAACCACAGAAATGAAGTGATGTTTTCCAGGAAAGCTTCAGAACTCTGCTTCAAACCTGGATTTTATTATTTCAGATTCCAAACAGTGAAGTTCAGCTTTCTGAAGCGGGTTTTGTTCTGTCTGCCTCTGAACATGGAGCTGAACTTTGTTTTTCTCTCTGCAGGTCACAGGATGCAGCTTCCCTGGTTGCTAAGGGCGTGTCTCTGGTTGCTATGCATCACCCAGGTGTGGGCCGCGACCTTCAAACTGGCCCTGATTGGCCCCTGGTCATGTGACCCAATGTTCTCCCGGGCAATGCCCACGGCGGCGGCCAACCTGGCGTTGTCACGGTTACAGAGCGACAGCGGACTGAGCAAAGGATTCTGGTACGACGTGAAGCTGCTGGAGGAGGACTGCTCCGCCTCCAAAGGTCAGTGAGCCAATCAGAACACAGCAGTAACAGGCTCCGCCTCCAAAGGTCTGAGCCAATCAGGAGACTGTAAAGTGTTGTCACGGTTCAGTTCTGTTTTTACAGATGCGTGTATTTTGTGATCCATTATCTTCTCAATAGAACTTGTGGTTCTGTATTTCAGCGCTGACAGAACTCGGGGAGATGGAGGGTTATGGCCACGCCTACATTGGCCCTTTTAACCCCGCCCTCTGTCATGCTGCCTCCCTACTGGCCGAGCACTGGGAGGCGGGGCTTGCCTCTCCTGGCTGTCTGGACACCGATTGGCCGAACCTGCCGCCCATCACTCCTCCCAGCAGAGTCCTGTTCACCGTCCTCAGATTCTTCCGCTGGGCGCACGTCGCCGTCATCTCAGGTGAGCCAGTGACGTCACTGGAAGAGGCGTGGCTCCAGAAAGCGGGCGTGGCCTGACCTCAGAGGTCATTATGGATCGACACACGTTTTTATTTAAGAGCTGCTGCAAAGTTAAATATATTTTGTTCTGTAAATAAACTGTTTTTTCCCCTAAAGAGCCCTGGGGCCCTATAGCTCACCTATGACCCATGAACAGGCTACAGGTCCCTGGGGGCGCCCCTATAGCTCACCTAGCTTAGCGGTGACCCATGAACAGG